TTTYTTTTCCCAAAGGAAAACAGTCATTTGAGGATTAGATACAATAAATGAGAGTGCATACTCATACRAAATCCTCTCTAACTGCCTTTGTACTTTGTTTACAATATGTTTTGCTGATTTTTTTTTCCAAGGAAAACAGTCATTTAAGGATTAGATAAAATCATATATATTACCTGTCAATCATATAAAAGGAATAGAAGTTCATGCTTGGCAAACATTCTTCAGTTAATATATGATAATTTAGGATGTTTGTCTGCTGAAAAAAAAACATACACTGGACTACATGTCTAAAGTTATACAGCGAACAACTGTATGGAATCRGTTTGTTTTTCTACTTTTATATCTAGATATCCATATCTTTATTTTCATATAGAATACAACAATACAGAATAATGTATAATAAAAYGCGGTAATTAAAATTATGACATTGATTGTAGAGTTGATTTGATACATCWGGTAGTTGTCTATCAGGCTCCTTATAAATGGCTATTTTTTTACCCTTTGTTAAATCTCAAGCTATTTGTTTGGGATATTGGTGTGGTACGGGGAATTTATGTGTCGCCCTGTCAGAAGCTGACATAGCTCTATGGGTCACAGAGCCACTATCCCACAATAGAGTAGCATACTCGTCTTAAGAAGGGAGGAAGAGAATTACTGCAAAACTGCTCTGGGATGGACATCAGAGGTATGTAGGAAGTCCAAAGACTACTTTGAGGRTGACAATAGGAAACAGGTTGGACAGTCAACATGGAACAAAGCAAAGATGCAGGCAAGGGACAGAGAGGGTTAGAGAATTAKTATGAAGGTCATATGAGCCTTCTGGCACAGAATTGATGACATTGATTATAAGAGTTAAATGCAACTCATGAAATAACGGCATATATACATGTAATAACTAGTAGGAAATGGTTAACAATTAGACATTCTTATTGGTTTGTTTTTTTCTCTAATGATGGCTTTGATCCTTTATGTCTTTTCTTAAATGGTTTCTTAGTAGCATTCTGTTTGATTTGTGTTGCATTGTCCACTTCATGGTTATCTCTATCTTCAAGTGTYTTCTGTTGACCTTGTRTTCTGTCTCTTTTYATTCCAGCTTTTCTTTTATTTGTTTGTTTATGCTGTGCCTGTCGCATTTCATGTTTTCCTYCAATTCTTTCATCAGCTAACTCTATATCTTCATCTCTAAATTGYACTAAAGGTTGATGTACTCCTGGGGCTTGGTACCTTAAAGAAAATACACACAATTCTTTTATAAAAAA